CCCCCCCCCCCCCCCCAAGCCCGTGATCAGGGCTTAGGGTCACCCTGAACCCGTCATCCCTCGCCGCTTGCGCCAGCTGCGGTTTGGTACAGCACGCTGCGTCATCCAAGACGCACGTCCTTTGCGCAGACCTCGGTAACGCTGGCTACTCATTTTTAAGGCCCCCATTAGGCTTTAGGGTTCGGGGATCTTGGGTTTAGGTTTTAGCATCCCTCGCCTCAGACTTGTGCTGCTAAAGTCTCTCTCACAAATCCGAAACCCTCTGTCTGGTAGTGTCCGGCTTTCAGGATGCAGAGGTCCTTTGCCTCGGATTTGGCTCGAGTTTCGGGAGTCGAAAATTCTAAGGCAAGGAAGGATTAGGGTTTAGGGTTTAGGGCCCTTGAAGGCAGGAGCCATAGATCCTTCATCCGAACCCTCGAGCTGCAAACCCAAGCCCAAGACTAGTAACCGTGATAGGAACTTTGAGCCACACCGCCAGAAGCCTCAGATCCCACCCAAACCCTGCATCTCCTCAAGGCTGAACAGAGCTCCAGTTGTTCGAAACTAGCTTTCTGCTTACTGTAAGGGCTGCAGGTTAGTCGGGTTTGTGGTTTGGGTGTCCAGGGCTTGGAGTTTAGGGTTCCATGTGCAATTTTAAGCTTCTCGCAACAAAGCAGGTCCTTTTCTTCTCGGTTGCGGCTGGGCCAGTTCGAGCCACCAAAAACCCAGACCCCCGGAAGGATCTAGAAAGTAGAACCCCTAATTTGGACCCTATACTACTAAAGGGTCTTTATAGGAACCCCTGTTAAGGGATCTACTTTTTGGATCCTCCCGGGGGTCTGGGAATGTGCCTCTTTTTTTTCCGACCTGAAGCCTCGCCTTGACCCTACCTGTGCCCAGGCCTTTGCTAATACGGCATGGAGAGGTGCGTGGCCGGGTTTAGGGTTTAGGGTTTAGGGCTTAGGGTTTAGAGTTTTAGAGTTTAGGGTTTAGGGTTTAGGGTTTCTCTCTTGGGACTTGGGGGAAGCCATGATCCTGAACTGATCACTAAAAGCCATTTAGGCCCGAAGTATCCAAGACCTTACGAGGCAGAACCCCAAGACCCGTCACCCTCAACCGTCATCCCGGGTTGAGGGTTCGTGTTCGGGGTCCCCGAGGTTGGTGGCTAGCTACGGCTGGTGCACAAGATGCTGCATCATCAGCAGTCCCTAAACCCTAAACCCTAAACCCTAAACCCTAAGGTATGAGCGCAGAATGCCCGAATTTTCGTCTCGCTTGAGGCTCAAAGGCTCTGCGAAAGACCCGGCCGCCTGCCGTTAACGAAGACCTGCTACCCTAAACCCTCAGGTTTAGGGTTTAGGGTTTAGGGTTTCTGACTCCGCGCCCGAATTTTTGAAGCCCCACACCCCAATCCTTTGATGCTAAACACCCCGAACCATCCCGAACCTACACGCTTTATCCCAGAATGTTCTCCCGGAGCCCACACCAGCTCTCAAGGCCTTAAGCCGAATTTGAATCCCTGGCGCAAAATGCATAGCCTAAACCTTGATCCCAAGCTTTCCCGTGCATCCTAGTTCTACGCACCCTAAACCCTAAACCCACCCTGTAATTATGAAATGACGCCCTGAAGCCAGCAAAGTCTACTCCTGAATTCAATCCCTGTACTCCTCAACCCGTCAACTCCCTAAACTAACCGTCCCCTCAACCCTAGACCCGCAACCCCTGCACCCTAAACCCCCAAACCCTAAACCCCAAACCCAAACCCCAAACCCAAACCCCAAACCTCAAAACCCAAACCCCCAAACCCTAAACCCCAACCCCGAACCCCAAACCCCAAATCCTAAATCCCCCAAAGACACCCCAAATCCTAAACCGCCAAAGCCTCGAATCCTAAACCCCCAAAGCCTCAAATCCTAAATCCCCAAAGCCTCAAATCCTAAACCCCCAAAGCCTCAAATCCTAAACCCCCAAAGCCTCAAATCCTAAACCGCCAAAGCCTCAAATCCTAAACCGCCAAAGCCTCAAATCCTAAACCGCCAAAGACCCCCAAATCCTAAACCGCCAAAGCCTCCTTCCCTGGATCGAAGGCGCTCTCCGGACCCGGAGCCTCCGCCTGAGTCGAAGCCGGGCGCTCCCAGCTACCGATGTGTTTTAGGGTTTTTAGGGGGTGTTTTAGGGGGTTTTAGGGGTTTAAGGGTTTTAGGGTTTTAGGGTTTTTAGGGTTTAGGGATTTTAGTGATTTTAGGGTTTAGGGATTTTAGTGATTTTAGGGTTTTAGGGTTTAAGGGTTTTAGGGCTTAGGGTTTAGATTGAGGGTTTCGGGTTTCATGGGTAGTTCTCTACATGAGGGTTCCTTAAAAGAGATCTATAAAGGTTTCTATAGGGGTTCTACAGGGGTACTATAGGGGTTCTATTTGGGTACTTCTCTAAATTAGGGTCCTTTTTATAGGGATGCCACGCTATTTGCGGGACCTAAACTGGGAATGTTAGTTGTTTATTTAGATAATACATGGGTTCGTTGAAGCACCTGATACTCTACTGCTTATCAACGTTGTACAGGTCTTCTGGTCTGCGACTTCAATCCTAGAAGCCCTGAGCACTAGGACTGCGTTTTTTTTGTGAAGTTTGCGAGATATGTGCGCTGTATCCTGTACCCTAAACCCTAAACCCTCGTCTGAGTGATGAAGATGTTGTCTGAGGGCCGGGTCTATCTCTAGAGGGGGCTTTACAGTGCACGTCTCAAGTGAGACGGGCTTCGACTGCCGCACAGAAAAGGGGCCATTGCGCATAAAAAACCCTAAACCTCAAAGTTCAAAGCCCATGGTCTGAGCTTCTGGCATGACACCCTAAACGGTTCTGTGTTAAGGAAGCCCAAAAATGCCCGGCAAGCTAGCCCAGGACCCCAGACCCTACAAAGGCCTAGACACCGCTGGAATCCCAAACTCTCAACCCCATAGTTCATAGACTCTAAACGACAAGCCCTGAACCTTAACACCCTCAATCCTAACCCGCTAGAAATCCCCGAAAACTTATTGTAGGGCCCGGAAATAATTACCACTGCTATTGTTTCTTTGTGTTAGTATATGACTATACCCTAATATAACACCCAAAACCTGTTCTACTTTCAAAACCCCTGTATGAACCACAAGCGAATACGACATCCTTAGCGTTCCTTAATATATACCTACACCCTAATATACCCTGAAGGCCCCTATATGAACCACAAGCCGTACGAGGTTGCCCCAGGATCCGATCCCCGTCCTCCCGGAGGAGGACAACGGCTGCTGTGCAGGCAGCCCGTCGGTTTAGGATGGACGTTTAGGGTTTAGGGTTTAGGGTTTAGGGTTTAGGGTGGTTCATCAGGATAGTTGGAGGTTCATGGGACTTAATAAGTACAGTTATAAGTTATAAGTACCCTAATTGGGGTTATAAGTATAGTGACCTTATTGATAGCCCTTACCACTAAGTCCCATGAGCCTTTAAGTAGTTGCCATGAAACGCCCAGCCCGGCGAGCGGCAGCACCAGCTTCCTTCTAAGCGGCATTGTATGATAGCTTTCCCCAAGGGTCCAAGTAGTCCTTATTTAAGGTTTTAGGTACCCAAAAGGCCCCAAAGTCCTTCAATAATGGGTACTTGGACCCTTATAGGGTTTGTAAGCAACTATGCCAGCAGATCTGCGGGTCTACAAGACTTGGGCTCAGGAAAGCACTGTCGCTCACACTGGCCTAGAAACCGGAATGATCATGTTAAGTATTGCCTACATGCCCTTCGTACCTACACGCCTTTCGTACCTACATGACCGAAAGCATACACACCGAAATAGTCACGTTAAGTATTTCCTGTGTGCCTGTCGCACCTACGTGACCGAAAGCATACAAACCCAAAAAGTCATGTTAAGTATTACCAACATGCCTTTCGTAGCTACATGACCGAACGCATACGAACCGAAACAAGCAAGTTAAGTATTGCTTACATGCTTTTCGTACCGACATGACCGAAAGCATACGAACCCAAATAAACATGTCAGGTCTTCATTCGTGCTCTGCCGCAAAGAGAAGGGACGAATCACAACCACCATTATCCAGCTTTGGTGTTGAAACCGCAATGCTGTACCATGGGTTTTCTGCAGAGCATGTCCAAACTTATTCAGGCACCGCTAAGCCAGTTGTAGTTTCTCCCGTTTGGGCCAGCCGACAATAGTGGTTCAGTTGTGTGTTTCCGCCGTGCGGTTCTACTTTCTCCCGTTTGGTTGTGTTTCGCCCCGGCCGCCCCGAAACCCTAAACCCCAGACCCTAAACCCCAAACCCCAAACCCTAAACCCCTGAACCCAAACCCCAAACCCTAAAACCTAAACCCCTAACCCGTAAACCCTAAACCCTAAACCCTAAACCCCAGCGTACTGCCGGGATGGCAGGTAACCTGGTGATCGTCTCCGAAGGGAGCCCAGAGTCCGGCCAGCTCTGCCGAGTGCGGCTGCGCAATCGGGAGTTCGAGGCGTCCCGTCGCTTTAGGGTAGAATTTAGTAGGGTTTAGGGTTTTTAGAGAGTCTATAGGGTTTAAGGTTTAGGGTTTTTAGAGAGTCTATAGGGTTTAGGGTTTAGGGTTTTTAGAGAGTTTAGGGTTTAGGGTTTAGGGTTTTAGAGTTTAGGGTTTAGGGTATATTAATATCTGTAAACTTTTCATGTTTACCAAACAGTAGTAGGGCTCAAGGCTTATCCCCCAGGCATGAGTAGTTGAGGTTGCAGCCTTGATCCTGATGCGGTTGGCAGGACTTCATAACAATAGGGCTTTGTCGCAGAGGTGTACGCAAGTAACGAAACCTGAGCGCTAAACCTTAAACCCTAAACCCTAAACCGTATAATAATTACAGGGTCGTTGAACATCTCGTAGAGCTGTCGCTCGTTTCAATAGGATGTCATTGGTCGAAAAGGGGTGCCACCTAAGCTTCATAGCCTTACTTAAAGGTTCATGGGACTGAGAAATTAGGGTTATAAATAAAGCTAGGTAACTCTACTTATAACTATTTGTATCCCCACTTAAGGTACTTATAACTGTACTTATTAAGTTCCAAGAACCTCTAAGTAAGATTGGGGCTTCCGGTGTCAGGATCTGTGCTTCGACGCGAGCTGCACTCCAAGCCTGAAAGATCCCGCACATGTGTCTCAAAGCATTGCAAGGGTTTACGTCTTTCCAACGGCCCCCCACAAGAAACCCCAAACCCAAAATCGTTGTGAGATACCGCGCTAGAAAGGTTAGGCTTGCATGTCTCTGGGGTTCATGATTTAAGGCCTGGAGCCGGTAGAGTTTGTGAGGTTTGCAGCCCACGCCAACCGGTCCCGCGTTCCTTTGCTCACAGAATGTCCCCTGAACCCGAAACCCTTGAACCCCCCAAAAAACCCCTAAACCCCAAACCCTACACCCTTAACGCCTCATCATAATTAATAGGCTAATTGTCACACCTCCGGGTCCCACCTCCCGCGTCCAGTGTCCCGCGTCCCGCGCCCCCCCGCGCGTCTCGGGTCAACGACGAGAGACTAGCCTTAGCCTGGGAGCTCAAGAGTGTTGAAGCACACGCCAAGCTCCAGGTTCATGAGTCATAATTGGGTAGTTGTCAAAATTATGGTCCCTTTTGGGGTACCCTAAATAATAGGTGCCGTATTATAATAAGGACCCAAAAAGGGACCATCATTTTGACAACCACCCAATTATCTTTTCCGTCGTACAATGGTGCGTACAGTTCCAGCACAAGCTGGTTGACCAAAAACAAACTGAGGCTGTTCTCCCTTTTGGAGCAAAGCACCCACGGCCCGCAGCCCGCCGCTTCCGCGGGAAACAAATTATACCCAGCCCCTAAACCCGCAAACCCTAAAACCCTAAAACCCTAAAACCCTAAGACCCTAAACCCGAAACCCATCAGGTGTGCAGCAGATCGCTATACATCTTCCCACTGCGCAGCTGTGTGAGGAGAAGAGCGAGGGACCAAGAGATGCGGATCATGGGGGATTTGTTCAGTCGGGTTCCTTTGTATGGGTGGTTCTCTAAATTAAGGTCCCTTTTTCGGTCCTCAAAATAGTACGGCACCCTTATAAAAAGGAGCCTAAAAGGGACCCTATTTTAGAGAGCTACCCATATAGGTGCTCTTTAAAAGGCTACTATACGGGTCAGTAGAAGGGTTCTATGACATAGAGGCCTGAATGACGGGGCTCTGGGGTAGATCACAGTATAGTGAGATTAATCAATAAAGAGAGCTTAGGAATCGTTGTGGTGATTTTTCAGGCTTCTATAGTAGAAGTTCAGGGCTCTCATGGCGAACTTCAAGTGGGGGAGTCACCAAACTAGGGTTCTACCAGCGTCCCAGTTCTCAGAGTGACCTGATCCTCGAAGAGGAACTTAATTTACAACCCTAACGTGGATTTCTGTCCAAGTCAACCCGACCTGTTACCCTACTGTAAACCCTAAACAGGCCCTAATCCCTAAACCCTAAACCCTAAACCGCGAAGCAGAGGTCCGAGCTTCCAACACTCTCAGTGAGTGTTTTTCGGGCAAGCTTGGTTTAGAGTGAAGTTTCTGCCCGCTGAAGCAGACCCTTGGAACAGGGCGTTTAGTGAAGTGACAAGAGTTTCACAATTTGAGATTCGATGATCCCCTAAACCCTAAACCCTAAACCCTAAACCCTAAACCCTAAACCCTAAACCCTAAACCCTAAACCCTAAACCCTAAACCCTTGAGATTCGATGATGGATGTTCTAAGGGTTGCAAAGGCCGTACAGGCTGTTGTACTTAAGGGATCATGGGACGTAGTACTAAGTAGACTAGGGTTTAGGGTTTAGGGTTTAGGGTTTAGGGTTTAGGGTTTAGGGTTTAGGGGACGTAGTACTAAGTAGACTTATTCGTAGCTAAGGTAGCTGTACGTACGAATACCTATAACCCCAACTGAAGTATTTAAGATCCAATGATCCTGCAGGTAGGATTTGAGGCGGGCCCTGAGTCAATGGGTTAAACAGCCGCCTCAACATCCTTAGTATAGCGGCCTAAACAGGTACCTATATTATTTTGGGGATTCCTTATAATAATTAGTGCAAAATGGGCCCCAAAACCCTATTCTAATTGATAAGGCCCCTATGCTCGTGGTCCATCGTCTCCTAAACTCGCCTCCGACACCTTCACTTTCGCTGGTAGTGTAACATCAAGCTTGCAGTTTATTTTGTAAAAAAGCAATAAGCTAATAAAGAGGCCTCAATAATTAGAATAGGGTTTGGGGTATTCTACATTATTCCTAAAAGCCCTTAGTTAGCACCTCTTCTTATGGAGCTCCTCCCGCCATCCCTGCTGATGTCGGTGTAGTCATCGACTCGGCCCTTATCCCGCAGTCCAATAGCCCATGCAGCTGCTGGAGGTTATCGAGTTGGTTACGTGGTGGGCTTTTGATAAGCGCCACACCCAGGACTGCCGCAGGCGTCTTTCTTTCTTTCTGAGATTTGGGTGCTGCGGGCTCTAAGCCGATGCGACAAGCAAAGAGCCCTACATCCCCTTGACGAACCACGGAGTTTGGGTCTTGCAGTCTAAGAGAGGGGAGATGGGTGCTGAAACCCAGATCACGCTGGGTTGAGGTTTAGTGTTCAGTGTTGGGGTTGCAGGATGTACGGTTTCCGGGCTTGGGGCTTTCACTCCTCCTCATCCTCTATAAGCATATCTACAAGCCCATCTGCTTAGAAATAACTATCCCTCAACCGATAGCCCGCAGCGTTGAATTGAGACTGTAGCAGCTCAACCAGTCTGCGCCGGTTCGACGATCCTGATCTTACAAGGCTCTGCATCGACGTTCCTGCGCCAAGCCCTCAGGTTCATTCTCTTCCTCATCTTCTTTAACTCCATCTGCTTGGCATCCTACGACCACCGCAGTGAAAGTAACTCTGGCCGGAGCCCTGGCAGTGGTTGCGCCTCGGTTTAGGGTTTAGGCTTTAGGGTTCCTTCCTGCAGTGCTACAGCAAAAGGGCAGTCAGTAAAGCACCTGTCTTGGCTGTAATTGTAGTCTGCAGCCTGTGCGGGACCGCGGCTTGAAGCACACAGACATGAACTACAAGTGTTTGTATGACTCTTGTGACTGAGTTGCGACGGTGTCTTGGCATCAGAGTGATGTTTTAGCGTGCTTTTTTGAAGGAATGCATAGGGCTGTCGGCTCGGAGCTGACCTCTATAATTGCGAGAAGAGAGCCACTGTTCTGAGTTTAGCTCGGTTGCCAGAGGAACCTTGGCCCCAAACCAACAACCGAGCTTGGAACAACCCCGCACCCTGAGCCGCAACCGAGCTTGCGACCATGCGTGTCTTGATCTCACCCTACATGCAAACCCGCAGCCACATGGGCGGTTCTTGAAATGCGGGTTTGCTTCAGCCCCTTGTCATAAGAGGGATGTTTCGTTTTGGGGACCCGAAAAAGGATCCCGATCGACATACCGCCACGCTGGCTCCCTGAACCTCCAGCGGTTTAGGGCGGAGCGGTGGGGGCAGGTTGCATCTGATGGCGAATAGAAAAGTAACAGAACGGATCGAAACAACTATATGGGTTTAGGGTTTAGGGTTTAGGATGGAACTGTTTCGGTGGCAAGAACACGCAGCGGCAGTCATAAGAGAAACAGATAAGCCACCTAATCCCTTATGAATCCCTTTACCCCACAGCCCAAAGCGAAGGCCCTAAAGTCATGCACCTACAGCCTAGACCCTATAAACTATAAACCCTACACCCTAAACCCTTATCCTTAACCCTAAACCCTAAACCACCAACCCTAAGCCCTAAACCCCAAACCCTAAACCCTAAAACCCTAAACCCTAAAGCCCTAAGCCCTAAACCGTAAACCCTAAACGCTAAAGCCCAAAAACCCTAAACCCTAAACCATTAGGGCCCTGAAAGGTTTCAACTGGGTTTCCGACAACATCTTCGATCCCATCCTCACGAGTCCTGCCGGCGGAGGGGAGACCTTGAACCATTTTTTAGCCCGGCACCTCAAGTCTATGATATAATATACAAGTACATACACACACACACATATATATATATATATAGATATATACATATATATATATATATATGTATATGTATACGTATATGTATATGTATATGTGTATTTATACAAAAATACTTACACAGAGAGATCGATAGGGTTTGGTGTTAAAGGTATGTTTTTTTGCTGAGCCCGATGCCTTAAGTCTGTAAGGGCGGTTCTGTAAACCACGGTCCCGTCTTGGCTCCCGCAAAATAGGCCGCCCCTCTTGTAACAAGGAGCCCTGAATGGGAGTGTAATTTTTTGAGCCCTCCTAAACTTTGTCCCCATGTCTGTGTAAACCCTAAGCTCTAATCCCTAGTTCCTAAACTCTAAACCCTAAACGTTTAGGGTCTTCGGTCCAGGGTCGGAGATTGGGGTTTAGGGTCCCTGGGGCTTCGCGGCTTTTTTTTTCACTTCGAGGGTGGGTTTTCCAACTTAGGGCGTCCTGCCCAAGCTTTCTGTGATTCGGCTGCAGGGCTTTGTGCATCTGTAGGCCCAGGCTGCATGGATGCACTGCCAGCAACAAACATTCTAAGCTATGCGATTTTTTTCGGACAGATGGTTAGGGGCATGGTCATCAGGTCGATAGCCTAAAGCCTTAAGCCCCTTGTACTACCTGTGATATTTGCGATGCCGTGCACTCTCTACCACGGGAGTCCCAACTTCGAGTTCTTTATTGAAGTTTCTTCAGTTTTCTGTTTCGCACAGAGTGTCGGAAATTTTACGGCCCTGAACCCAAAACCCAAGGCCCCGAAACCTCAAAGCCTTAGACCAATAAACTCTAAAGCCTAAACCCTTATCCCTTAATCCGAAAACCCTGAAGCCCTCAAGCCCCAAGCTCAAACAGTCTGAAGCGATGCAACGAAGCTCGCCAGGTTTCTTCACTCTGGAATTCATTCTCAAGGCTCGCCAATGCTGCTTTCATGCGTTTTGGGATCTGGGGCCTGGGGCTTTTACCTTTAAGTGTAGACCTTCGCGACCCTAAGCCTGAAACCCGCAAACCTAAACCCTCAACCCGACAATTCTCAACCTTAAACCCAACCCGCAAATCCTAAGTCTTATCCCCCTGTGCTTGGGTCGTATGACAGTCAAACGCAAAGCACATCTGCTGCAGCCGACAAGTTTTTCACCGTTGAAGCCTCGACATGGGTGAAGGCCGGGAACTGCAAATCCGATACAGGCTATGCCCAATCAACTTTCTCTGTGGTCTATTGTTGTGCTTGCAGGTGGTTGCTTTCGGCTTCGTGGTGGACAAGACGTCCTACCTTCGCGATGTCCGGGCCCTTTCGCCGTCGGATGTAGTCTCAAACCCTAAACCCAAAGCCAGGCAGCCGAAGAGCATGCTTTACAATACTTCACCGTCGGTTGGCGCTTCCGTCTGGAAAGAAACCAACAAGTGTATACGACACGCAGCAAGGCTGTTCTCTAATCCTGTCAGCACTCATCTTCGCAGCTTTCCCAGGATTCAGCCATAAGCTCCAAACCCCAAGCCCCAGAAGACCACGCGGATTTGTAGAGTTCAAGGTATACTTAAAGGTTCATGGGACTTAATCAATACAGTTATAAGTACCCTAATTGGGGTTATATGCATAGTTACCTTATTTATAACCCTAGTTTCTAAGTCCCATGAACCTTAAATCCTAAACCCTGACCCCTAAAACCCTAAACCCTAAACCCTTAAACCCTATACCCTAGACCCTAAAACCTTAAACCCTGTAACCCTAGTTTCTAAGTCCATGAACCTTTAAGTATAGTTAACCTAATTGGAGTTATAAGTTGTTATAAGTATAGTTACCTTATTTATAACCCTAGTTACTAAGTCCCATGAGCCTTAAATCCTAAACCCTGACCCCTAAAACCCTAAACCCTAAACCCTGTAACCCTAATTGCTAAGTCCCATGAACCTTTAAGTATACATATAACCCCTAAACCCTAGACCCTAAACCCTAAACCCCAAACCCTAAACCCTAGTTACTAAGTCCATTGAACCTCCAAGTACCTCATCATCAGTATATAGAATCCTATAAGGTAACCCCAAAAAGGAACTACTATGGGGCCTATAGATGAACGTTTGAGTACACCCCATCATCAAGCTAGCGGAAGCTGAGCCTGAACCCTCGCATCTCCGCCCCAAAAAAGGAAGCCCTTCAAAAAGGGGAAAAGCACTCCGGTTTACGGTTTAGGGTTTGGGGTTTGGGGTTTTGGGGTTTGGGGTTTGGGGTTTAGGGTTTAGGGTTTGGGGTTTAGAGATGCCCTGATTTCAATTGCTGAAAGCCCCTCCAATTTCCTGAGGCATGGAACTGGCTGGATTTCATAGTCGTGGTCACCGGCGTCCTCCAGATGACCAACGTCCACTCCCTGAACTGATGTCATCAAGACTTCTTACGGGGTGTTACAAGGCAAACATACGGTTTGTATAATATAGAGGCCTGAAGAACTAGGACTATTGACCAGGATCTGCTTGAAGTCCTAACCATACTAATTATGATACATGCCCCAACGAAGGTTGCCAGGCCGAGGACTTTGTGTTGGGGAGGCCTAATGTAGGGGCCTAAGTAATTACCTATACTATTTTGGGAGTTCCTGATTTTCATTATAGTATAAGGGGCCCCAAAATCCTGTTCGAATTATTAAGGCCCCTATGTTCAACTCTAAACCCTAAACCCAAAACCCTAAACCCTAAACCCGAAACCCCAAAACCCTGAACCCCAAACCCTAAACCCTAAATCCTAAACCCTAAACCCCAAACCCTAAACCCTATAAACCGCTCCATCCCTTCGAGGGATCATTTGTGACTTCCTCAAAACCCAAGCATTACTTGCCGCTCCTCCCGCGACCCTGACCCGAATCCTCAGCCGAAGCAGCAGAACACGGGGGTTTAGGGTTTAGAATTTAGGGTTTAGGGACGTGGGCATTGGGTTCGAATCACACAGGAGCTGATGTCAAGCTTCGGGGGAATTCATCCTTAGCTAACCAAGAGTTGAAAAACCTAGCACTCTGCACCCCCGAATTCCGTAACCCCGGGCCCTAATCCCCGAGCCCCAGAACCTCAAAATCGCAAACCTCAAAACCCTTCTAAACCTTCAAAACCCCTAATGTAGCGGCCTGAATAATTAGAATATGGTTTTGGGGTATATTATACAATGCCTATAGTGAGGAACCCCAAAATAGTATTGGTGATTATTTAGGCCCAACCCTAAACCCTTAAGCCTAAACCCTAAAAACCCATTCTGAGGCCATAACTAGCCAAGAGGGAGTCGGCTTCCTTCGCATGTCCCGGCCTTGGGGGTTCAGAGTTTAGGGTTTAGCGTTTAGGGTTTAGAGTTTAGGGTTTAGGGTCTAGGGTTTAGCGTTTAGGGTCTAGGGTTCAGGGTCTAGGGTTCAGGGTTGTTTTTGTGTTCCGGGTTAGGCGAAATGTGGGGTCGGGGTTTACGATGGCAGGTTTTCGAACATGAGTTTTTGGCGAGCGGGCGAAGGTTGCTGATGATCAGGCTGATAAGAGAGTGATAGTGACCAGTTTCTTGTGCACATGCTTAGCTTCTTGTTCCGAGCTTTTTCCAAACAGTTTGCTGCTTTTCCCACAGTCTCTACTCCTCAAAATCACATTCTCCCTCCCTCCCTCTCTCTCTCTCTCTGGTTCTTTCTCTGTCTCGTTAAGTGTTTGTCTCTCTTACTCTGACATGACATGCTGATTTCCATAAACCTCTGTCCCCGTGCTCATCGCTCTATCGAGGTGGTTCTGGGCAATGTTGATGTCTTTCTCCGAGCTTCTTCGTTTGGCATGTTTCGTTTGGCTTTTTGTCTTCCTATCTCGTCGAACGTAGCCACGCGGTGTACGGCTTGATGTGTTTGCTCGGGTCTCTATTTTTCTCTATATGCGGAGCCATCCTCGCAAAGCCAGTCGTCCGTTCCCGGAGTGTTGCTGAAAATCGTTTCTTCAAAAGCCTTCACTCTCGTTAGCACGCTTGGTAGCTTCCGTATTAAACTCTCGGACCGCTCCGGGCTTGCTTCGGTCTCTGTCTTAGCCCTTCCGAGAAGTAACCCTGACAGCCGTGTCCTTGCTTGCGTGTAGCCACTTTAACCCACTTGTAGGGTCCCTAAAAAATCCCATATCAGGGTCTATGATAAGAGCCTACACAAAAGTGGGCTCGGGTAGGTTAAGTTAGAGCCCGAACGTGAATGCATCACATCGCTACAATCCAAGGAGCGGCAAAACAAACCCTACAGACCTGAGACGTGTTGGATCGAGTCATCCGTGGCTTTATTATTTCAGGATTTACCAGCCTTGCCTTCGGGGACATGACTTGAGTCGTAAGTTCTGTACGACGAGCTATGCGGGTCACAGCAGACCCTTACAACGAAAGTCGAAGGACCCAAGCTCCTGTATCCAGGTTCCGCATTCTGCGCCCCTTGCGGTCCCTGAATGCCGTCCCGCAGATGAAGGTGCGGAGTGTAGGCTGTACACCCCGGCTGTAGTGTTGAACCCTACGAATGAAGTCCCAGAAACTCAAGCCAGAAATCCCGTGCTTCGGCCTTTGTGGTGGTCTTTCGGTGTACACGGTTCGGGCTTCAGGGTTAAAGGACTGTTTCAGCGGCAGCTCGCGAGGCTCTGCTCGATTCCACCTATCGCTATCATATCTGCCCTCGAAACCCTAAACGGTAAACCCCCGGTAGTGTTAGGGTTCAGGGTTTAGAGGCTTCCATGAGCTTCAGTCAGACGCCAAGGTTCCAAACCCTCATTCTCGAGCCCCACACCCCGAAACCCTGAATGTTTCAAGGTAGCCAAGGGTATCCAAAGATGGCTTCGCGAGACTGGGCGGAAGCTTTCGGTTGTGGGTTTGGGGGTTGAGCATATCAACGCGCACACACATACGGGCAAAACATATAGTGTATGTGCACAGCCACGTACATCAACACTTTATGCATGTATGCATATATATATATATATACACACACACATACATACTTGTCGAGAGAGAGAGAGAGAGAGAGACAGGGAGGGAGAGAGAGCGCGAGAATGGAGATGATACAGGGAGACACTTTGGACTCCCTTAAACCCTAAACCCTAAACCCTAAACCCTAAACCCTAAACCCCAAACCGGTACTCCCCCGGACACAGGTGCTGGTCAACACCGTGCTCAGTTCCATCCCAAGACTGGGCCGCAACCCTGGGACTTTGCTGCGGTGCGAAGTTTAGCGCTTGGGCTGTGGGGCGTAGGATTTTCTTGGAAGTCTCAGAGTTGACATCTTCCGATTATGTGCCTCACTGGATTGCTATTTTATCATCGTGTTGTGGTAGTTCGCCTGGTATGACTATCGATGTTTGTAAGACTGTGGTTGTGAGATGTGCTGTGCTTTGCCAGACTCAAGGTCCGCCGTTTCCAGACACGACTTAAACTTTAATCTAAAACTTCTGAGCCTACAATCCTAGCCCTAAACCCTAAACCCTATAAACCCTAAACCCTATAAACCCTAAACCCTATAAACCCTAAGCCCAATCTTCAGCGGGGATTTGCGGCGGGATTTGCGCAGGGCCGGCCTTGAATTTGCGGGTTCTGGCTGCTTGGAGGGTCGGGGGACTTAGTAAGTAGGTATAAAGTAGACTTATTTAGGGCTTAGGGTTTAGAGTTTGGGGTTTAGGGTTTAGGGTGTAGGGGTTTAGTTTAGGGCTTACGGTTTTGGGTTTAGGGTTTAGGGTTTAGGGGTTGAGGGTTTAGGTTATAAGTACCTTAAAAGGGGTCCTAGTTGGGGTTATGGTACCTATAACTAAGTCTATGACATAACTACTTCGTAAGTCCGCCGACCCTCCAAGAGGTTGGGGGATGACAGTCAAGTTTGGGGGGGTACAGAGGTGAAGTCGAGTGCTAAATCCCTAATATCTAGGGGCCTTAATACTTGGTATTGGGGAGTAGATTATACCATAATTAGAAGAAGAAACCCCCACAAATCGAATTCTGATTAAGCAGGACAGCCTGGTTCATGTTGTTGGCGATATTCCATCCAGTCAGCACGGAGCAAAGCACCTCCCCAACCCTTATATCCCAACTTGTTGTGCTCATTTTTGGGCAATGCCTACAGGTGTATATCTCGAGGGCCCCAAGTACTCCTGATGTTGGGTCTTTAGGGCCTTTTTGCATACCAAAAACCATATATCAGGACTACTTGGACCCCTAGTAAGTTTGCGATGTAAACGCAAGCTGCAACACCTATAGGGCTGCTCGGGCCAGCAGCTTCCGATCAGCTTGGAAGGCCGAAACGATCCGAAACGCACAACACCTCTTAACCCCAAAACCTCGCCCTTCAAACGTTCGAAGCTTCGACGCCCACGTCCGAACTTCGAAGGCAACGTCAGCATCATGGCTGCCTTCCTCTTCGTTTCTTTTGGCATCGTAGGCGCGATGGGGAAGGGAGGTACGGCCCACGCTTAGCCGGCCCTCACTGCTCGAGCCCAAACGGAGGCCCCGGAAGACCATGTTGCATCCCAAGCCAAACTACAAACCATCAACCAAAAACGCTCGAGCCGAGATTCACGATATAGAACCCACGCCACGAAACCCCCTAAACGTTAAACTCTCTGCAAACTTTGAACCCTAAACCCTAAACTCTAAACTCTAAGCCCTAAGCCCTAAACCCTATAACCCCTAAATCCTAAACCCTATACACCCTAATCCCTATAAGCGCTAAACCCTAAACCCTAAACCCCCCAACCCTCAAGACAAAACCCCAATCCTGAAGCCTGTGGTGGCTCTGCTGCAGGAGTCTCTCTCTTCGGAGGAGTCTTCTACCGCGGCCGGGGCCTCAACCATGCTATGGGTTGAAAGTTTAGGGTCCAGCGTTTAAGGCCTAGGGTTTGGGGTTTATGGTTTAAGGTTTGGGGTTTATGGTTTGAGGTTCAGGTTCAGGTTCAGGTTTTGGGGTGTTGTCTTAAGTTTACTTCTGTGGGCCAGTGCCAGGAACTCTGGGTTGAGTTCTTGTCCTCTCGGTTCCGTTTTCGTTGGGACGTTCTAGGTTTACGAAATTTTGTGAATTTTACGCTTTAGGGTTTAGGGCTTCGGGTTTAGGGTTTAGGGTTTAGCTTACAGGATTCAATGATCCTTCAAGTGGATCCATGTGCAGTCGAAGCCCTTGACCGGGACTACTAGCACCCGAGACCTCAACCCCACAATCTTACCTACTTAAGCCCTTCAGCCCGACGCCCCAGCCGACGCTCCCTGAATTCTATGCTTCTTGAAGACCCCTAAACCTTAAACCCTAAGAATTAAACCCTAAACCTTAAGACCTAGACCCTAAACCCGAAACCCTAAACCCTAGACCCTCATCTCAAGAGTCCCGGACTAGGTTGCCATACGATCCCAAAGCCAATCTTGATCGGCGCCAACGGGACGGAGTCCAGGTCCCAGTGATTTAGAGCAATGTTCACGGTTTTGGGTTGCAGAAAAATACACATACATGTATACTGTACACACTAACTAGACACATTCATTTGTTGTTGCTTGGTACATGCATACATGTTTGCATACATACGTGCATTCGTTCATGCATGATCAAATACGTACATGCATTCATTCATACATGAATGAGTTAATTCACTCACTCACTCACTCACTCACTCACTCACTCACTCATTCATTCATTCATTCATTGATTCACTCATTCGCTCATTCATTGATTCAGTCATTCACTCATTCACTCATTCTTTCACTCATTCATTCACTCATTCATTCGTTCATTCATTCATTCATTCATTTATTCATGCGCATATATATATATATATATATGTGTATATATAGAGATAGATAGATAGATACAGATGTGAATACATACATGATGCCTCTACTAGGTCTCCTTGAGGTTCTCGTCTCCAGGCTGCCGAACTTGAGCTCAGAAGGGTTGGGCTTTTATGGGTAGCTCCCTACATTGGGGTCCCGCTTTAGGTCCCCAATAGAGTACGGCACCCCTATAAGATGAACCCCCCCCCCCAGACGGGACCCCAATTTAGAGAACTACCCATCTGTTAAATATGGCTTCTATGCAGTTTTGTTTTTGCGGTCCTGTACGTCTTTTGGAAACCGAAGTATTGGGACGTAGTGGACGTAGTGCTTCAGAGCTGCAGAGCTCGGGGTTAACGGGTGTACAAAGGGTTGAGGCTTTGAAATCCTACTTAGGGCGCAGTTTGGCGCGACCTGGCAAGCGATTGATGGTCAAGTCTTGCGAAGAATATCATAAGAAGTCGCTGGTCGTCGCCAGAAGTTCAGCTTTAGTTTCATTAATCGTCTTCACCGCCATCATCGGCCCTGGACGCCCTAAACCCCCGAAGCCCTTCAAACCCCTAGACCCCTAAACCCTA